AAAAAAAAAAAAAAAAAAAAAAAAATTTTTTTTCCTGGGGAAAAAAAGAGATCCGACTCTTAGAGGGCTGTGGTAAGGAGCCCTGAAGATGTGGGACTGGGTCCCCTGTCAGCGCTACCCTGCTAGCTTTTCCTGGAAAGGTCTACGAATAAAACAGGGCTGGTGGTGTACCTGTCTCAGGTGAGTCCCTGGTGGGCACCTCCCGGTGGTGGGCACCCCTCGGTGGGGGGCACGCGTGGAGCTGGCTGGAGAAGGGGGCCCGGCCGGCCCAGGAGGAGGCCCTTGGCATTCGGGGGCTCTGCCGCTTCAGCCAGGCACTCCCACTCCGGGGCTGGCACCATGGGGTCCGGAGCCGCCCCTGCCCCAAAGGGACATGGAGAATTGGGAAGCCGCTGGGTGTGCCCCTCCCCCAGGCCATTCAACACCCGCTGGAGGCTCAGTCACCAAGGAGAGCCCGGGATTCCCACTGGAACTGCCTTTCTTCCCATAAATCCCCACGGAGTGAGTGTCAGGACTTCAAAGCCCACGGCCTGGCCCTGGTTTACAGGTGGGAAAACTGAGGCTTTGAGACAGGACAGGATGGATTTGCCTGCTGGCAACTGGTGCCTCAGCCTCCGCCCCCTGAGAAAGCATCAAGTAACATCTTCCGGGGGCCTCAGGACCTGCAAGAGACCCCATGGGCTTTCTCTACCCTGTGCCCACTTTCCCAGCCCCGCAGTACTGCCTGGGAGATTGACCCCTCAGCCAGAGGGCAAAGGGCATCAACCTGGCCAGGCCCGCGCTGACCCCACAAGCATGAGGTTGGGGGCAGAAGCCTCCTAGCCCAGCTCCTCCGGGGCCTGCTGCGAGGACGAAGGAGGGTTCAGTGCCACCAGAGCGCCCACCATGGACTAGGTCTGATGTACCCATGTCCCTGTTCAGTCCAGGGACAGCTCTGGTGCCCCACTGGATGCATAAAGGGAGAAGCCACGGGAAACATTCCAGGGAGCCCTGCCCTGGCCCTCCCGCTTCTCTGGAAAAGGATTCCCAGAATAGAGTCAGGGGAGGTAGGCATGGGCCCCAAGGTATCTTGTGTACCCTGGGGCCCTGCAGAGGGCGGGCTCATCACTCCACCCTCGCCCCACATTCAACCCCCCACAGTGCCCTGCCCACCACGCCCAGCAGGGGGGCCAGGGCGCTGATGCAGGAAGCTGGCTGTGCTTCTGGGTGGGCCTCTCCGTAAGAAAGAAGGACACGGGAGGCAGGGTAGAAACGACTGTGTATTCCCTGGTTACAAAGCGGGGCTGTGGCGGTCATCAGCGTGTCTGGCGGGTCAGCAGACCAGCAGGGCCTCGTCGTCACTGGCCTCCAACGTTGGGGAGCAGGGTGGCGGGGGGCTCCTGCAGACACCCAGTGGCTCTGGTGGGTGGGGGCCTAGGGTGCTGCCGGCAGTGGGGGCCGGGGCGTGAGGGCCCTGGGCCGAGCAGGCCTCCCGAGGCATGTCCACAGGGGCTGGGTTGTCCACCAGAGGGTCCCTGCCAGCCTTTCTGTCCTTGTGCACTGGCCTGGCCTCTGGGTCCCGCAGGCCCGAGGGGGGCGGCACAGAAGGCCCCACCTCCGGTGCGTGGCTAGGGGCGCCGGGGGGCCCCTCCCCGGCTGCCCCTGGGCTGCCTGTGTCTGTTAGGGGTGCCGGGGGGTCTAGGCCAGCCCCGGGTGCCGGCTGGAGAAGCCCATCGCCCAGCACCGTCTGTGAGGTGCGCGCAGCCGTCAGCAGCGGGATCTGTCCGCGCGGTGCCCGCGGCCGGTGAAAGAGCCGGTTCCAGAGGCGGCCGAGGCGGCGGCGGGAGGGCCCGCGGCGGGAGGCGTGCCGGCGCATCTGTCGCCGCATGGCCGTGCGAAGGTTCTGTAGCACCGAGGCCTGGAGGGTGGGGCGGCGGCTGAGGGGGCAGAGGTCAGCACGACCCCCGAGGGCCCAGAGACCAGCTTGTCCCCTCCCCGGCCATGGCCTGCTATGTCACCCTGTCCAGGCCTCATCTCCCACCTCCCTCGACCCCTGGAGCAGCCTGGCTGCACGCTGTCCGACCTGGCCCCTCGGCCTCCCTGTCTTGGGTGTTTTCCGGGGTCTGGCTGGTGGGGTCTCACGCCCTCTGGCTCACCTGTGACGCACTGTAGACGGGAAAGTCCTCCACAGGTGGAATGAGGCCCTGTGCAATGAGCTGCCCATAGGACGGGGGTGCCTCTCGCCGCACAAACTCAGCCTCCAGGCGTGTCATCTGGGTCTCAAAGGCCCTGAAAGCAAGGGCAGAAGGGCAGCATGGTGGGGCTGTGGGGACCCCCCACTTCCCGCCTCCCACGGGGGCTCCGCGGCAGGACGTGGGACCCCGTCCTTCCAGCCGGACCTCCCGGGGTGCCCAGACCCGAGAAGCCCCGTGTGGCTGTACGAACAGGTAGCCCAGGGCCTCGCTCCAGAGACGGCAGGAGAGCGAGGCCCTGGCCCCGCCGCCCACCTGTACTCCTGCGTGCGCAGGGCGTAGAGCTGGAAGGCGCAGCCCAGGGCAATGACGAGTAGCAGGCCGCAGACCAGGCTGCCGATGAGCGCGGCGGTGATGACCTTGCGGGGCACGGCCGCCAGGCAGCCATGCTCGTCGCTGCCGTCCTGGCAGTCCTCCTGGCCGTCACAGCGCCACGTCTCGAAGATGCACAGGTTGGTGCCACAGTGGAAGGTGCCCGGCTGGCAGGAGAAGCAGCTCTTCTCGTCAGCGCCGTCGGGGCAGCTTTTCTGATTGTTGCAGCGGTCGGCGGGTGTGTAACAGAGGCCGCTGCCCGCCTCACAGGGGTACTGGCCAGGGGGGCAGGCGGGGGGGGCCCGCTCGGCCCT